ATCGACACGGGCATCTAGTCATCCATTCTGTGAATACAGCAGGGGGACAAAAGAGTGCAGGCCCTACAGAGTTAGCCATCAACCTGGCTGACTATAAAGGAGAACAAGCAGACATCATTCTGATGCAAGAGCCCTGGGTTGGCATACCACCAGGCAGGAGAATGGGAGTAAAGACACACCCCAATTACGATATATACTCCCCAGTGGATTCCTGGGACAGCGACAGTACACGGCCCAGATCTCTCATCTATGTGAGAAAATACCTTCAAGCGGATCAACTTCGGCCCTATGCTACACGAGACATCACCTGGGTCAAGGTACAAGGCATTACATTTGCCAGTGTCTACCGGCCATGTGACAACCCACAGGAAGTGGATGACATTCTGGAAGTATGGACTCCACCTTTTGGCTGCGTTATAGCTGGAGATTTCAATGCTGGCGACACATCCTGGGACTCAAGCAATCCAGGATATCATGGTGGTACTATACTTGCACAAACTATGGCAGACCACGGACTGGATCTGATTTCTGAACCAGATGTCCCGACACATGATGACGGAAATGTACTAGATCTGGTGTTCTCTGATGTCCCCATGGCTGAAGCCTCAGTCAATGATGCACTTCAGTGCACCTCAGATCATGAGACATTACGAATAGTCATTCCAATCCAGGGAGATCTGGACCGAGTACCCAAGGCCAATCATTGGATAGTACCAGACGATAAACTACAGGAGCTGGCAGATAATGTCCAAACCAGGATTCATGAACTCCCCCGGCTGGGTGTATCCCCTGGCCAGGTGGACACCTTTACACAAAGCCTGATCAACATGATCCAAGGCTGTATCAGGACAGTGGGCAAGAGGCCCCGTCAATCTAGGCCCACTGCTTGGTGGAATGATGACTGCAAAGCAGCTGTTCAGACATACAGGGCCCTTTCCAAACAGACTACAAGCCAAGAAGGACGGAATTCAGCCCGACGGGAATTTCGCGGCGTGGTTCGGAAAGCTAGGAGAGAGTACTGGCAGACTCTAATCAATTCAGCAACTGAGCCAAAGGACCTATACAGAATCGTCTCTTGGCACAAGTTATCAGCAGGAATGCGTTCCCCTCCAATCATCATAGGAGACCAAATATTCGAGTCACAAGAGAGCAAGGCAAATGCATTACGCTCAGCCACGCTTGAACGAAGTACCTCAGACAACGATATCATCGACCCCTGGTCCGCTCAGATCATACAACCCAAGCCACACATCCCCCTTGAATACCACGTCGGACTGGAAGAGGCTGAAGGGTGCACTTTAGGAACCAAGAGCAACTCCCCGGGAGTAGATACCCTCACAGTACGGATTCTGAAAGCTTGCTGGCCAGTCATTGGTGAACATATCAGAGCCCTTTTCCAGACCTGCCTACTGATTGGACACCACCCTAAACCATTCAAAGTAGCTGAGGTGGTGATGATCCCAAAACCAGGAAAGAAAGACTACTCCAATCCCAGGGCCTACAGACCAATATCGCTACTGTCATGTCTTGGCAAGGGCCTAGAACGACTCATTGCGAAAAGAATTACCTGGTTTGTTGTCAAACTTGGAATTCTAGCCCCACAACATTTTGGAGCTCTACCAAAGCGCTCTGCCACTGACCTGGTAGCTGCACTCATACACGATATTGAGCAGGCCCTTGACCAAGGCCTCGTTGCAACGGTAGGCACATCAGATGTGAAAGGGGCCTTTGATGCTGCCCTAATGGGACGGCTGGTGGTTCGCATGAGAGAACAGGGCTGGCCAGGCTTTCTCATAAGATGGGTCCAGTCGTTCATGTCCGAGCGGTCCGCAAGAGTTCGGTTTGAAGGTACTGTGACCGATATAAAAGCTCTCACTTGTGGGCTCCCACAAGGCTCACCAGTCTCTCCAATCCTCTACATGCTGTATACAGAGCCAATCTGTGCCCGACTTGGCATGAAAAGAAGACGCTTTGGATATGCAGATGATCTAGCAACACTCTGCATTGGAAAGAACCTTAAAGAAACAGCTGCAGAGGCTTCTGAAAACCTTCATTTGCTCAACCAATGGGGACATAACAATGCTATTGAATTTGATCCCGACAAAACCGAGATCATGCACTTCTCACGGAAAAAGAACTCAGACAATCCCCTAATTTGCCACGGAACAATGAACAAAACAGCTAAGCATTCCATGCGATGGCTAGGTGTCCTTCTGGATAGGAAACTAAACTTCAAAGACCATATTTCTCACTGGGCCAAGAAAGCTAGTAGGGTAGCAAATCACCTTCGAGGACTATGCAACACAGTCAAAGGACTTCCAGTAAAGTCAACCAAGAGGGCTGTGAAAGCTTGTGTTATTCCTATTCTCACACATGGCCTGGAGGCCTGGTACCCAGGAATCGAGAAAACTGGGAGCTTAGGTGAGACATCAGCATGTCGCATTAAGGGGCTTCTTGGAACAATAGATGCCGTACTACGAACGGCGATCAGGGCTATCTTGCCAGTCTGGAAAACACACCCTGGACATATCTTACACTTTGAATCGCAGATTCCCCCAGCAGGAGTTCTTGCAGAGTCAATAAGACGACGTCACGGCCTCCGACTAGGACGAATAGATCAGAGACACCCTCTGGTTGGCAGGCTCCAAATACAAGCTCGCAAGGATCCAACAAGGCTACAAAGAAGCTTCCAGCTAGTCCCTGACTTCCAGAGACCAATACTTACCAGGCCATCATGGAGGAAGCGCCCAATCCGCAAAGACAAAGACAAAGAAACAGAGCTCTTCAAGCAATGGTTACAAGAGAGAAACGTGAACACTGACCTTGTCATCTACTCAGATGGATCACAGTTGGATGACCAAGGCACAATCCGCACTGGATGGGGTTATACCATCAGGAAAGGCGGCACTACACAAGAAGTATACCGGGGAAGGGGCAGACTTCTACAAGCAGAAGTAGTAGATGCTGAAGTCCATGGTGCTCTCCAAGGTCTTGCAGCAGCCAGGGCAATTGGACACGGAAAACAGCTATATGTCTGCCTGGACAACACGTCAGTGGTAGATGGGCTCAATGGGACTCCACCCGAGACATCACAAAACATTTTTCTACGATTTCAAGAACTTGCCACAGCACACACTCCTGGAGTGACCGTCAAATGGATTCCTGGACACAGAGATATTAATGGCAACGAAACTGCCGAGACACTAGCAAAAGAGGGTGCCATGCTGGAAACAGACACAATAAATCTTCCTACAATCTCTTGGGTCAAGAGAGATCTCAAAAGACAGGGCAAGAAAGAGTTCAACCAATGGTGGAAAGACCAATCAGAATCTAGGTATCAAGAAGTATACTCACATGCAGTAACTGAAAGAGACCTTATATCTTTTAAGAGGAGTACTTTACACAGACTTCTAGCGGCCAGATCTGGACATGGCGACTTTGCCAGATACCATGAACGCTTTGGGCACACAGATTCAAATGATCACTGCAGCTGTGGTGAGAAGAAAACACCACAACACATTTTCTTTTGTAAGAGGCTGGGGAAAAATCGGCTACTACCTAGGCATTCGCCTAGGACAGCTTGTTTACAATACTTAGGGGAGAGGAGCACAGAATGGGCAAAATTCGTGGAGAAGAGCAAGTTCTTTTCAACAATCTGCCCCCGATAGATAGCCTTCCTTGAAGGACCAGATGGATGACCCCAAGGTCATACCGCCGCAACAACGGGGATGGGCCCGTGAGCGGGACTGACTGTACTTATTATCTTGAGACCTCCACAACCCTGCGATGCAGAGGCTCTGGGAGGCGTGGTTTGCACTACTGAGGAGCTACCCCCACGTTAAATACAAAACAAACAAACAAACAAACAAACATTTGTAAGAGGCTAGGAAAAAATCGGTTGTTGCCTAGGTACTCGCCTAGGACAGCCTGTTTACAATACTTAGGGGAGAGGAGCACAGAATGGGCACAATTCGTGGAGAAGAGCAAGTTCTTTTCAACAATCTGTCTCCGATAGATAGCTGTTCTTGAAGGACCAGATGGATGACCCCAAGGTCATACCGCCGCAACAACGGGGATGGGCCCGTGAGCGGGACTGACTGTACTTATTTTCTTGAGACCTCCATAACCCTGCGATGCAGAGGCTCTGGGAGGCGTGGTCTGCACTACTGAGGAGCTACCCCCCACGTTAAATACAAAACAAACAAACAAACAAACAGAAGTGTAATTAGTTCGTCCTTCAATTATAAGCGGTCTTAAAGTATATTTACATCTTCGCGGTCTTTTTAATAATTCTTACTAAGGATGGAGTTAATAACACTAACAATACTTACACTCTCATCGATGTTGCCAGACTCTGCTACTATAGTAACAAAGCGATATGACTACACAATGGACAGTGGAGCCAGAGTATGGAGGCTTAAATGCACGTTTCGGGGCAAGAGCCTACCGAACCGGCTCGATCTGGATATCTGGTCCGCAGAGACCATCAGACGGGGTTGTGGACTGCCCTAAGTCCACTTCCAGCTCGCATACGCTAAAGACCCTCGCTAGAAATGCCGCCGTCAATCATTGACCCCCGCTTGGGTCAAATGGTTGATTTTTTCACCGAACGGCAATGATGTGTTGGTGGTGGAGGCCCACGGGATTTAATCTTTTTTTTTGTTTTTTTGGACATACCGGGAATCGAACTCCGGGCCTTCCCGTGTCGTTGCCGACTGAAGACGTGTACCTCACACCCTACGTCCTGTGTTATTGGGAAATTTTGGTCACTATCAGCGAGATATGAAGTAGTTGGCGCCGCCGAAGCTACCTATCCAGTCTCGAATGGCAGCGAGTACACCCGAGAAGGGACCGCAGTGATCTTGACCAGGGATGAGTGAGAGGGTGAGGGCCCTGGAACGCTTACACTACTTTGGCGAAAATCAGAAATGACATCCTATCAAGGCTAGATACACGCTACTCACGCTGCTCAGTACTACATTAGAGATTCTGGTTCTCTCTCAGTCCCTCAATGTGACCCTGACCGGAAACCCGTCTGCTGGATGGGCTCCACCTCCGCCCATCTCGGCCGGATACACTCGGTTGCCATCCACTGACTTGATACCCTTCCTCGGGTGAAGCTGGTCCCACTCGTCGTATGCAAGAGTAATGTCAAACAGTCTAGCCGTCATAACGAGTGCGACTTTGAGTTCCAACTGCGCAAGGGTCTGACCGATACAGCTGCGCGGGCCCCATTCGAAGGCTCTCCAGGCGCCTTTATTCGGGTGAAGAGGATCCCGGGGGCCGACTATCCAGCGTTCCGGGAGGAATTCCTCTGGCCTCACGAAGACGGCCGGGTTGTGCATGACCAGACTGAGGCTCCATATGTGGCATCCCTCGGTAGGATATTGATGGCCTTCCCTCGTCCGTGAGGATGATGTCGGGACGCCCTTCCCGCATGCTTCCCGCAGGAGGGAAAATGCGCAGGACCTCCTTGATAACTGCCAATGTATATGGTATCTGATTCATGAGGGTGGGATCGCTGTTGATGACCTGACTGCAATGCTCGATTGAGGGATCGGAACCCAGCACCTTGTGTCGTGCTCAGCGCGGACCTTGGCCATGGCTTCGGGGTGCTGGGAGAGCAGGTGGAAGCAGTACAGAAGCGTGCTGCTAGTGGTGTCGTGGCCAGCGTAGAGAAACATGCGAAGCTGAGGCTTCACAAGCTCCCTGAAAGCCTCTTTTGACGGCTCCGCATCGTTGCCGACTTCCCCCAGATATTGGTCCATAGCCAACGAGATGATGGACCGATTCGGCGCGCGAAATTCTTTGCGAGGGGAACGGCGTGAAAGAGCGAGTTCTTCGAATCGCTTATCTATCTCCCCATCGAGATACCTGTTCATCCGGTAGCTGTTGTACTTCTGGACGAGAGGGCGAGGACTAAGATAGCGGCGGATTGGGTTGAAAGTTGTTCCAAATTGAGTCCAGTACACCTGTCTCCGGAGGCAATCAGCGAGGGCACTACCCTGCGTCTGATAACTCAGACGAGCATCACTAAACCAGAAGCAGGCATTAGTAACGTCCACGGCCCAAAGCTCCATTGCTATCGATGCCACTCACAGGGTTATGCGGCTAATGACGTCGAAGGTGAGCCGTAGGATGAATTCTTCCAACTGGAACACCTTCCTTTCTCTAGCTTGGCCTTGAAGAAGCTTGCAAAAGACAGCAACCTCATCAGCAATGGCTGGCGCAAGCCCGATCATGTAGCCGGCGGAGAAGCCAGGGTTGAAGAGGCCGCGCCACTTCTTCCACGTCGCTCCGTGCATCGTCATAAGCGACGGGCCGCCGTTGATGATTTCCAGGGTAGAGCACATGGCACCAGGCTTGTCGAGAAAGGCAGCCTCGACCTGGGCGGCGGCAAGTGGATTCGCAACGACCATGAGAGTGGCGCTGAAAGGCCACAGGTTGAGGTAGAAAATGCCATTTGGAAACTGCCTCGCCATGTGCCGCACCACGACATGCATCGTCGTACTCCGCGGAAGGGCTTGGATGCATTCTTTTAATGCAATGAAATGACCAAAGACAGGATGGTACTTGGGCATTGGCTTCGCTATCGTCAGAAAAGACTTGGGAAGCTCGAATGCTCAACTTTCTGCCTTGGCTGCTTGAAGCTTCCCTACATGGTGCCGGTTGGCCCTCAGTCTGACGAGGAAAAGGGTGAGAGCAGCGACGGCGGCGGCCACAAGGGCTGATATGCTGAGGTGGACCATCTCAAGTCTCAACCGGTTGACTGGGGAGAGTGAGAAGCAGGAATTGACAGGCGCTGGGCAGACAAGACTCCAAAGTCCTAGGATCAATTCGGTGGCCGTCACTAGATACGCTATGACGGATAGATGGGGAAAGAGGGAAATGGGGTCCTTCGCAGGTTTCTTTATAACGGGTATCCAGGATGGTAATGGTCAGCGGTTCCACAAAGTTCCGATCTACAACGATCCGCAATGGTGATAGGTAGAACTTTACGCCGTGGGAACTTTCTCGTCAGGTATGTATTTTAATAGGAACCGCTAAGCATTACCGTCCTTGCTACCTGGTATAAATAAACCTGCGAAGGCCCCCAAATTACGCTGTCGATCCAAGGCTCGCCGGGTCGCACATGAAAGGGACCCTGGTCTACCGCCTTTTCCGTGCAAAAGTCTGGCTTGGCGAACAGGTGGTAGGTGCAGGCCGTAGAAGAGTTGCACGGAAAAGGCAGTACATGTGAGTAAGGGATACGAGTTGGTTCCAAGCTTGTTGGTCGTTGGTTATTGGTCATTGGTCAACTGTCATTGGTGCGTTGGTGCGTTGGTGACGGTTGACCATCCCCTGCAATATACAATGGCCTGTGACACCTTCTGAGTCCACCGTGGGAGTAAGGGGAGGGTGTAACACCAGCTCTGTGCTCGACTAGTAGGTTTACAGTATGTAAGGTATCGTTGGCGTACCCGGACGATGTATTGTCGCTTAATGTTCTCTTCCGTCCTCCAGGCCTGCTGCCTCCTTGATGATAGAGTTATCGCAGGTTTCGCACGCACAGTCCACTCCCAGTAGGCAGGACGCAATCGATCATGCCGGAAAAATTAACAAGAGACCCACGCAGTATTGCTTCACAATGTCGTGGTCCATGTCTGCTTGCACCTTGTGCGTGCCGACAGGCATTCCAGATCTTCGGTAGCATCTTGTCTTGGGGGGCATCGTCTGCATCGTGGCATGCTTCGCGATTCGCATCTCTGGACGCCGGCACCTTCGCTGGGATAACGCACTGGTGCAGGTCGCAACCATGACCATGAGCACGGGTTTTGGTGTGTGCCTTCGCTACCTGAACACGCTAGGCCTGGTCGAAGACATGAACAGGAAGGTGGCAGTGCCCTCCCAAGATGATATCCGCCGGATACTGGGAGTGGGAAAGTTGTCGGCCGTCTTTGCTCCACACTCTCCCATTGCAGCCCAATGGTCCGCGGATTCCACCATGTCCGGAGGCATACGGGAAACCTCGTTGCCGCTCTTGACATTGGGTCTGATTGCTTCAGTGTAATGCCTGCCTCCCAACCCTAACCTGTGGTCAAGATTCATGAAGCTGACTCTGCAAGTTCTGCCATTGCTGCTGGTTATTCTCAAGCAATGGATGATGCCCTTTCCTCCAAAGCTATCTCTCGCAGAAATGTTGTGTCCACTCGGTCGCAATGATCACCTGGGCCCCATCCGACTCGTTGGCCACATGACCGAAACGCGGCTCGACGAAAGCGGAGTGGCACCCATGTCGTCTACATGTCGGGCTACTGTGGAGGGCTACGTCGCACTGATGATGACCTCTGTCACTGTAATCCGTGGTGTCTTTATCTCACAAGTCATCCGAGACGACAGACTGAAACAAGAAAGTGTACTGCTGCACTTTGGCCGCTGTCTTTCCTCCACCTTGCGCTTTCCAAGATACTCGCGAAGTAGCAGACGCAGCCCTCCCCGACCGCGAGGACCGCTTGGACAGTAAATCAATTGCGCCGGGAATTGGTACACAGGGGTTAAACAGAGCCACCCTTGGTAACGTGAGGTTTGGGACGTAGTCCTTGTCGATGATGTACAAAATCTCGTCCCATCCGTTGCTCGATACGAAAGTCAGACAGCACTGCCTCAACCATTCGGTCTTGAATGTCGCAGGACCGGTTCTCCATGCCTGGTCGTGTTCGATGGCTAGTCGGTTGTGATAAACGTTCGAAACCATGGCATTGAACTATCCTAGAGTATGCCAGGCTTTTGCCAGGTTATCTAGACCCATTGGCGGCTGGGGAAACAGCACATCGTTTTGGCGGTCCCAAGCAAAGTATCTTGGCCGCAGCGCTGGTACGTATTGCGTCGCAACCGGATGCCTCGCTCGGTGGAAAACGTCATCATCTTCCAGAGTTAAACGTCGCTCAATGGCAGCAGATCATCTTCATCCATGTGTGGGTCGCTGAACTCTCGAATGCTTTCTTGATTTCGTCTGACCAGCCCGACGGATCACACAAGGTTTCAACCAATATCCCGAACTCGTCGATACCGTCTTCGCCTCCTTCGAAGAAGGTCCCCTCGTTTCTGGCATAGTACTCATTTTCGATAAGATCGGGCCAACAGTACATGACCGAAGATGGCTCTGCTGGCTTGACGGCGGCTTTGGAAAAGACTTGAAGGTGGCGATGCATCTTGTCCGGTGCGGGCCATCGGAGAGCATGGTGGGTGGCGTGGCGGCTCTCTTCGATGGCATAGTAAACCACATCAAGAGCATTGAACGGTCGGAGGAACCTCATCAGGTACCATATGGGGTTGACAGGCTTACTGAGATCCCAGACGAAGAAGGTGAGGAACTTTAGCAGGTCGGGGCCGAGCCCAAGATGCTGGATCGAGTCGGTGAATCCCGCTAGATGATAGTCCCAGCTTCTCTCCATCCAGTGCGCGTTGAATTTGCCGTCTAGGAAGACCATATCGTGCTCGCTGTTGTAGCGAACAATGCCCCCCTTCTCATCAACAGCGAGGGTGTCCGGAAAGAACCGTAGCGCCTCGTCACGGCTCTCTCGGTGGACCGCCAACATGGTTCGGAGACCGGCCGTCTGGTCTTTCAAGACATGACCAGGCCGAACGTGATACGGCGGCACGTCAGCACCCCAGGCCTGTGTCTCTGTGGCATTCGGTATGATGAGTTGGAGTGCGAAGACTTGGGCTGCACGTCCGTGGTGCACCTCGGGTGCGACGAAGCTCCAGATGTGAAGGCACAATTCGGTAGACAAGCTGCTGAACTGCGCCGAGCCGGATGGAGTACCGTTGGTGGCCATGTTGGCTGGGGCAGTCTTGGGGGCGTTTGATGCTGGGGTGAGTTTCGAGGCAGGCAAACAAACACACCTGCGAATCGGAGTGTCGCGCCTTGTGACAGTCCACAGCTGATACCAGGTGGTCGTGGTCTAGGTCACGTGTAGATTAGATTAGATAATCATCTCATCGACCTCCTCAAGGGACAGCCCATCATCAGGCACATACTGACTGATACTGACTCTTCAGGGAAGCCAGCATGTCTTCATTCCCTTTATTCAGGCGCCTCCTCCTAGAGCTGCGTGGGGTGATCTGGCAGCTCGCGTTTGCGAGAAGAGGACCAGGGTACACTGATTCCAACTCCTCCCTCTCACTTCGACAGCCTGGAACTCACTTTGAGTAAGACCCAGGAGAGGAAATCACGACGGGTACACTGAAGTCCCCAGAGCATCGAATCTATACTGAGAGGCAACGAGGAGCTCGGCTATCTAGAATCTCCGCTCACGCTCGGCGCACCGCAGCACACGAGCGTCCAGGAGCCGTCTTGGCTGGAACTCAACAATTGAAGCTACCTCAAGCACAGCGGCCTGTGGTCCGCTTGCAAAGAATCCCGGAAAGAGTTACAGCGCATAATGGGAGATTGGATTGCACGGTGGATCCGCATTGTGTGGAGGAGATGGGTGAAGAAGGTTGGGGATTTGAGGAAGGCTCGGAGTCGGAAACCGATTCAGATATCTAGACAGCTACACTGAGCCTTCCCCGTTCTCTGTGGTACACCGCTGCTATCCATGAGGGATATCTCTTGAGCTTGAGTATCTACGGATGTACTCACGTATGAGGAGAGCATAGAGAGCATAGGCGCATCATGTTGGACCATGTCACTGCAATCGCGTGGACCTACGTACATAGCAACACGCACCAGTTTGCATCAGATGGGAAAAGTTGTTAATCAAACATTCGTGCTGGTAGTGTACAAGTTCTCGCCGGCTCTAAGCCCACTTTCCTTTCCTTGCTTGACGAACTTGACGAACTTGATCACGCCAATTGGTGCTGGCATCGTACGCCCCATTGGCGCCCACTCTGGACGCGACGTCATTCATCGTGAACCGTGGCACCATCGACGACTTATCGTTTGTGACCCGCTGGTAACTACTCTGGGTCGGAGTCGTCGGCTGTGTATACGGCGTCTTCGACAGGACCGGCGTCCCGCCGACGGGGATGTTCACACGGGTTAATACCTCCCCGCTGCCCAATTTGGATGGCATCATTGCCAAGTCCTGCCTGCCTTGGACTTGAGTTCGCAACCCTGGGGTCATCAGCCCCAGGGCCAGCAGCAGATGCAGAATGAACGCCGTAGCGTTCCCAGTATTGCTTGCGATGCTGAGATTGTTAACCATCGTGGGTATGCCAAAAGCGCGAAAACAATCGGCCCAAGTACGTGCGTGGTTTCCGAATCTCTCCTGCAGCAGGTAATGTTTCTTCAGATCCCATTGTTCCAGTAGCTTTCCCTGGCTGTACCAGTTGGAAAACTTGACGGCTTCGTGGTTTCCATGATCACCACCACCCACCATGACGACCTCTCTGGTGACGCCGGACTGTATCTGCGATCTGCTGAGGCCCCATTTGGCCGCCATATCGAACGTGTTCTCGAGCGTGGTAGCAATGTCTGCTCGTCGAATAAGTTCGGACTTGCCGAAAACGAAGTCGTACGGCTTAGCGATGTGGTTGGCCCCGCGCAGGTGCCGGTATGGTGATCCGCACGTTCGATGACGATTCTGTGCTGCGTAACGACAAATTGCTGAAGAAACATTTCTCTGTCTCCAGCAGGCTTTCCTCCTCTGATAAATCGGCCGAGGTCAACTGGGCGCCGTGAAGTCGTTCGCGCGTGTCCAAGATAGTCCAGCCAATTTCCGTGATCACGCTTCGATCGTAGCATGCCGTGGCTACGGCAGTAATGAAGAAAACGACGGAGATCCTAGGGGCAGAAGGCGAAGCAGGGATCGAGATGGCTGTCGGCCAGTATTCGGCAGCTCGGAAGTTGACGTTGAACATGAACCATGTGTCGTTGTCATTCAGGGAGAACTTCAGGTTGCCTCGACTGTCGATGACGATGCGTCCGTGGGGGTCTCGCAGGAAGCGTCCGGGTCTACCAAGGAGTAGACCAAGCAATGTCGGTGTAGGCCGAGCGGCGGCGCGCATGAAGGCGAGATCCTCCATTATGATTCCTGTATACCTTAGGTATCAGTGAGAGTCCAATGGTTGCGAGAGGTCGGCATTACATACCCCTGTAGTGGAAAGCTCAGCTGCTGGGTGAGTGATCTTCAACCGAAAAGAGTAAGTTCCACTCGCTGGGAAAGCCAAGTGGTCTGCTAAAGAGGCGCGGGAAAGGAGAATCGTGGTGGTGGAAATATTCGTGGAAAGAGGAGTTGTCGTCAAGGATGATGCGGAATGGTGAAGTGGAAATGAACAGACCCGGCGGTACGCCAGGTATTGTGAAAAGGCTATTCAAGCAACGCTACGTCTCCGCTCCCTTGCTGAGCCTACGACGGCTTCTTGTGCGCTTCACCGCTTCTTGCACTGCCGCAAGTGCTTCGTTCGTCTTGCCTCTGCCAAACGGCTTTTTGGACTACGTATCGGTTGCAGTTAATACCAGGGAAGCAACAGTATCCACTTCCAGAAGCGCTATCGTGTTGTCAATGTTATGCTTCCGGTTTGGGATCGCGACGCGTGGACGTCAACTGTGATGACGCTTGGCTAAGCGCCCAGTGGTGGCATGCAATGTCAAGGTTGCAAGAAGTGATGTCGAGTAAACTTCAAGGTCGTGGGTCAGTGAGTGAGAGTCCGGATGGCAAGCACGCAATGGGAAGAAAGTCATGCGATTACCTGAAGGCAGCTCCAAGGGGCTAGTCGCGTGAAAGGTCGCGAATGAAGTCGCGTAATTGCGAGGGGGACACTCCGAACCTGACAACTGGGGACTGAGAGGTCCCAAGTGGGGAGGGAAGAGAATTATGGCTTGCCAAGTTAAGAGGACAGTCTCAAAAACCGGGGCTGGTTGCTATGGTTTGCCACCCTGACAACTTTCACCCGCTACAAATTGGAACAGTTGCCCATGCCACTGGATAATGATAACTGCAGGAGGGGTGATCCTCTATATTTCGTGTAAGTCATCGGAATTCTCAATGACCTTTCCCACTCTAGGCCGGCTTCAATCTGGCCAAGCATGGCGGATAACCGCTTGCCAGGGAGTTCGGATTGCCGAACACAAATTACAAGAAACGAAAGGCTGGTGGATTGAGTTCATTCAAACGAAGCATATGGCCTGTACTAGAATTTTGGTAAGTTGATGGAACAGGGGTTTCCCGATGGAATCAGCCTTCATGTATTCATCTTCGTGGCGGTGGGACCGATGGCGGCGACCTAAGAGGAGAGCAAGCTATATAGGGTCCCGGGACTGTACTAAGTACATACTGCACACGTTGACGTTGAACGTCTGCCCTCCGCGCGAAATCTGAATGACATACGGAGCGTTCGCTGGTGCGAAGGCAGTACGGTCTTTGTGCAGTCTAGAAGCGTGCATACCAGCGGTCAAGAGTCGGTAGGTGTCGGCTGTAGCTGGGGCGAGGGCGGCCATGGTGATGTTTGAACGAACCAAGAGCGAATGGGCCGCGCTGGAAGATATCAGTATACGTTCAGCATGGTGAGCATGTGGCTTACCTTTCTCTTGCCAGTGGACCTCTCTCATTTCCCCCGCCTATTAACCAGCAATCAACAGCGCGTGTCGTTCGACATGCCTTGAGGCCCCATCGAGGCTGGTGCCTATGACCTCTTACTCTCTTTTCTCCACCGAACTTGATCTCTCCAATTTATAGTGCCATCATACTGAGGGGCCTGACCACCACGAGAGGCGACATCGGACAGCGAATACACCGCAGCAGAAGAAGGGGTACTGTTCGTAATGGCCTTGAATGAGCTCACAGCGGGTCTCAGCGGCTGCGAATATGCCACCCTAGACTGACTGGCGGTGGCGTCGACAGGGATATTGGTTCGCGTGAGGACTTGTCCGTTACCCACGTTGGCCGCCAGCATGGGGAGGTCTCTGTGCTCGATGATAATCTTCTTCAAGTCCGGAGAGAGGAAACAAAAGGCCAGTAACAGGTGCAGAGCAAAGGCTGTCTGGTTGCCGCTGTTTCCCGCAATGCTCAAGCCTTCGAATTTGGTTGGGATGCCAAATACTTTCAGGCAAGCGAGAAAGTTCGGGGGGTGTCGCTGGTTCGAGAATCGAGCGCGCACGAGATGATGGGCCTTCAGGTCCCAATGTTCTAGCATCTTGCCTTGTCGATACCAAGTGGTCGCCTTGATCGCGCTGTGGTGGTGGGCATCACCCCAACCGACAAGAATGACCTCTCGACGGTCACAAGCGGCAATCTGGCGAGGGCTTAGACCCCATTTGGCTGCCATATCATATGCCTTCTCAAGTGTGGTAGGGGTATCGGATCGTCTTATAAATTCCGACTTCCCGAAGCCGAAGTCGAACGGGTGGGCGGCGTGGTTACTGGCAGAACAGCTGCCAGGATGGCGGATGGTAAAGAGATCGGAAGAAGATTGGCGGACGTCGCGAGTTTGTAATCAGTGTGAAGTGATCTGAGGTGCAGTGATTGTGAAAAGATTCGTTCAAATGGAATTCCCAAAGCACGAATTTGTGGCCGGTTGCCTGGCAGCCTTAGGTTTGCTACAGTGGTCCTTGGGAGTGCGATCAGAGGCTGCTCCGCTATTCTTCAGCGACCTACTGTATTTACCAGTCCTATCCAGCAAGAAGGTAGATATGGATAACGCCCAAAGTTAGGCGCCAGAGGTTCTCCTCGATATCCGCGATGAGGCTGTTGTATGGGCATTTTACTGCATATTCAATGGTGTAACGAAAAGCAGTGTGCACTCGGACACCTTGATACCCAGCATGTTTCTTCTCGAAAAGACGCTTGATCATCATGTCCTTGCCCCTTGGTAGGATCCTGTCATGCTGGCTTCGGGTCTAAGACTTTGGCTTGAATACAACGTCGTAGAGTGAGTGATATATTTGAGGAAAACTATACAATTGCCTAGGTAGCGTCGGGCGAAACACTACCGACGACGATGCACCAAGTAATTCCGAATCGAGACGGTGGAGACAGTATATTGATTGATCGTGCATGGCTCGAGTTAAGGGGCCTCATGAAGAGGGAATAAATGAATGATGTAGCCTTTGGCAAAATCAACTGAGCTATCTGTTATGTGCCAAGAGGGCGAACGCTGGTAGTATCAGGAGTAGCCACGGATGTTCCCTTCGAATGATTCCGCATCATATGTAGGTATCATCAGGTCCAGATCCCATACGTACGATCCGAACGTTTCGACCTGGCTACCCCTGAATGATTCTTAAGCCAAGCCATTTCGCAGAGTATCCCAAGAGCTCGTGGTTTCTCAGTTTCACACGAGCTGAAGCCAACGTCCACTACGAAAGCGCCCACTCCTCGAAGAGAACGAAGAGTCAAGACGAACGCATTCAAGACAGGTAGTTAACAGGTAGCGACGGCTCAATCTAAATGGACTATGGTGCCCATTCATCACTGGGATTGATGGTTAGGAGTCCCAGCAATGCGTCACTCATACAATATTCAAACACTGAACAACGATGGGCAAACTGATCAAGTTACAAGCTGAAGAGCTTTCAGTATCTGGCAATGTTCCATCTACAATTCTGTCTCCATCCTGCCCCCACGCTTCCTACCTTGCCTCCAGACCATGTGCCCACTGACAACCCCATCCAAACAAATTTATATGACCGTCATGCCCTTGATAATCCCCGTCGGGCCTGGGTCGAAGCGACATCGATGTCGAACTCTGTCTTGATGTGTCTTCGGACTTGGGATGGGAGTGTTGGACGGCGCGCAAGTCACCGTGGCGTTCAGGGAGGTGGCAGTGCACCAACAAGGCCAATAGGGCATTTTTGGGCCACTTAGCCCACAGAAGGATTTTCAGAGAGATACAACAAGAACACGGATTACACCAGAATATACGTTTTCACCCATCTAAAAGCCCCCACGCTCTGTTTGACAGGGAGTGCCTCATCATCTGGGGGACGCTATTTATGAGGCCTCTTCGTGAAGATTCGTTGTTCTTTGAGGCGTTCGATCTAGGTACACTGACCCTCCAAAAGTCTCCGAGCATCCACTACGCTAGTTTCAAAACGCGTCTACGCGCTTGCGACCCCCTTCTTTCTTCACCTTTTATTTACTCAATACCAAAACGATGAATTTACAAAAGGTTGGTACAATTCTGACCGCAAATCACGGGCCAAACCAGGAATTTACTTCCGAAGCTCGTGCAGCTATTGTGGTTGCCAGAGCGGCAGGCACAAGGCGCGACGATGTCGCGAGCGCATTCCATCTGGATCAGCCTCAAACTGTGACTGACATTATCAACACTGCTAGAGAGCATAACACAACGGTCTCTCAACCTCGAGAGGGAGCCACAAGGACTCTAAACAAGCGCAAAGAAACTCAGTTAGTTAAAATGGTACAAAAGTACCCCAAGATTACCTACAAAGAGCTCAAAAAGGAGAGCAGGGTCCTCAGCTCCTATATCACTATTAAGCGCGTTCTTCGCGCTCATAGGTTTTGCAAATAGAAGACAGCAAAACAGATTAAGCTTACGGAAGCTGATGCACAAGAGAGGCTCGCTTTTTGCAATAAATATGACTCCCTGGAGGCTCTGGAGGAGCTGATGCAAACGCTCTTCTCAGACGAAGTCACGGTCCAGAATTCACCCGATAATCCAGGCGATTGGGTCATCTGCCTCTCTTCTGAACGTTATAGGCAGGATCTTGTGGACCCTCGGAGTCATGGGAGACCCCGTATCTTCATTATGTGTTGGGCCTTGATCTGGTTACGCGGCAGAAAAGGTGGCCTAGGCAAAATCATCTTCTGTAAGCCCGATAAGGATGCTCTTCGCGGAGGAGTATCTTCAGCTTTATATCAAGACGTCCTTGAGGAAGGGCTCCTTCCATTTTATGAGGCTGGGGATCCTTTTATGCAAGATAACGCTCACTTCCATCGATTTGGAGGCACTCCAGAGTGGCTAGAGGAGCACGGCATCTGGACGATCGACTGACCTGCTCACAGCCCTGATTTGAACCCGATCGAGCACGTTTGGCCACTTCTGAAGAAGCAGATACAGAGAATCGAGCCTGGTTTTGTTGATTTGAAGGCTAATATTGCCCACGAGGCATATGCCAGACAGTTAATTAAAAGGGCGTGGTCAGAGATCGATCCTAAAATGTACGCGTTCTCGTCGAATCTCTCAGCAACCAAATCACCGCAGTGAAAAGGGCAGGTGGTTGGTACACACACTATTGAATGACTTATACAATGCAGTTTTTTTCATATTATTACAGTGAGAGATGGGTGTGTGGTGAATGCTGAAAGTTGGAAGGTATAGGCGTGTAGGGCTGCTCGAAAAGTGGGCTCGGAGACTGCTGGTCGGGGAGTGTAGCTACCGTGGCGCGACGGTAGCGAAACGCGCTGGCCACGGCCGTCTTGGTCGCGCCGCCCACCACGGCTCCGCACATGAACGCGCGAACTTCTGAAGTGAATTCATTGTTTTTGCCGCGATTTCTGCTTAAGGCGAGCCCGAATTCGTGTAATTCATTCATTATTTGACTGCGTTGTGGTTATTTGAAAAAGAGGGTGATAGTGGATTGATTTTTGACGCGTCTGTGGGGCGTTAGGTGTACGCATAATATTGGTGGGTCAGTGTAGCCCACAACAGATCCTTCCAGATTACATATACATGTTTCCAACCATATGAACCACCTTAAGAGCGGACAGAAGGAGCAGTAAATGCTGACTGAATTCGAATAACGTGGAGTCCAGCAAGCGTATACGCAGTTTTCGAATGCGGGCCTGCAGTCCACTAGGAACGGCAATGGTCCATTGCCCAGAATGGTAGGACGACTAGGCAAAGAGGAGGGAGGGGTTCTGAAGATATGACGGGCCGGACAGCCAGTCGCACCTTGCTTCAAGAGCGACGTCATTAACTTTTGGTTGTGATTCTAATCGAATTTTGCGACCTTGTGTTGTCAGCACACACACGTGGGCTTTCCTTGTCAGCGACAGCCTACCGAACATACCGTAGAGCTGGGATTTAGGCCAAGAAGACGGTAGCCTAGAATTTATGTCATGCTTACTGCCATTGATAGGAAAGGTGGATGAAAGTGACGATGTTCTTCGGGCCGGAGTAAGGATGTGGCGAAACACCCCTGCTGAGGCTCCTTTATATGGGGAGGCTGATCATCTACGCAATATACTTGGCTTCAGTGGAGCATCTGCAGGCAACGGCATTATAATAGAAGGCTTACAAGGTTGTCGTGTGGGGTGCATGGAGTTGCTCCTTCGCAGACTCAAGATGGAACTATCAGGTGGGGAATAACTTTGCGGGTCAACCTCCCCAGTCCCTGCTACGGATAACGTGGAAGTGGCGGTAGAGTGTCGTTATGACAGCAACACATCATCAGGTACTCAAGTATATAAGATCTCTTCAAGCATGCCCAGGCAGGGGGACTGGTTTCTGTTCCGAACAACAACACAACCTTGCAGGGTTTTACTTTTTATCATCGAGCCAAGATGAAGTACGGTCAACTGCTCTGGCTAGTGCAAGCTATCGCCCTTTCTTCTGCGTTTGACGTGGTTAGTCAAACCGCCCTGTTCCATAGTCATGATTTAGGTCTAATGCCGATCTAGGAAGATGCGGCTAAGCAGTACTCCGAGTCCGACGTCAGAGGTCATCTGGAGAAGTTCCAGTCTATCGCCGAGAAGGGTGGCCAGCCAAACAACAACCGGTTCATGGGGTCCAAGCCGCATGAGCAGACTCTCGATTACATTGAGAGTCAGCTGGAAAGCTGGGGCTACAAGGCGAAGAGAGAAAGCATTGACACCTTTTACTGCAAGTCAAACACAGTCAGCGTGCACATTGACAACAAGGAGATCAAAGACGTCTCGCCCTTCTGGTACTCGCCGACAGGCACGGTGGAGGGTGAACTCGCAATCGTCGAGGGCAACGGGGTTAAGGAGGTAACTTCTCCGACAGTCACTATATTCCAACCGAGCTAACTGTTCACAGAGCGACTTCGGTTCTCTGGTGAAAGACAAGATCGCCATCTTTCAGCGAGGTGGAGACAGCAATTCGGTTTTTGGTTCCCGAATTGATCACGCCCAAAAAGCTGGTGCCAAGGGAGTCCTCATTTGGAATAACAGACCGGGACCACTACGTCTCCCCGGGGGCACCCTCATCACTCTCTCCAACCCGGATGCCCTAGGTCACAAATACGTGCCGACCGCGGGTTTAACCCAGGACGCCGACAAGGACCTTGTCGAGCGAATAAAGACAGGCAAGGTGCGAGCCAAAATTGTTTCAAAGTGCGACGATAAGGAGGTCAAGACCGAGAACATCATCGCGGAGACCAAGAAGGGCGACGGTAAGAACGCATTGCTCATCGGAGCCCACACCGATTCCGTGCGCGAGGGCCCTGGTATCAACGACAACGGGTCTGGCGTGGCTGCCGTGCTGGCACTGGCCAAATTCTTCAAGGACTTCAAGGACCAAAAGAACAAGGTCCGCTTCGCATTCTGGACAGGCGAGGAGGAGGGCCTCATCGGAGCGTACAAATACGTGCGCGCGTTGGGCACCACCGACCTTGAGGAGATCAAGCTCTACTTCAACGTTGACACCCTCGGCAGCCCGAACGGCATCAACACCGTGGTAACGACGTCGGGCGAAGAGACCAATTCGGCGGGCAAGTATCAACGCGAGTTCTACAAGAGCCAGAACCTGGCCAACGACGAGCAAGACACGAGCCCCGCCATCGACGCGTGGGCTTTCCAGCAGTTCGGCGTCCGCGTTGTCGCGATCGAAACCGGGTTTAACGGTGAGAAGAGTGAGGAGGAAGCAGCAAAATTCGGCGGCACAGCTAAGGAGCCTTACGATGCGAACTATCACAAGGCTGGTGATACGATTAAGAACGTCAATATGGATCAGCTCGCGGTCAGCGTCAAGGCCGTCATCTACACTGCCGCCAAGTGGAGTGAAAGCTTCGATGGGCTATGATAGGGGGTGACATGGGAGGTGGACCAATTAGACTGTAAGATATGTAGGTAGTACGCAGAGTAAATCCGCAACTTGTTTCATATTGAACCATCATGACCACACAGGGACGATCAAAGTCAGGTGCGGCCCATATACACCTGGTCTAGTAACTGTGAGATTTCAAACCGTTCTGTATTAGAAGAGGGAAGAGAAGAAGATCTCTGGGGGAGAAGTCCCCATATATATGTACAGGTATGCCATCAGGGTGACCAGATAGTCGTACGATAATGGCGCTAGAGTGACCAGATAATCATCTGATAGTGGCGCCAGGTGAATGCCATGAAGCCACCTATCAACGCATTTATCACCGAAAGCCTCAGCCTGGTACGATATCCAACAGTAACTTCAAGGGGAGGTCGAGGTGGCACGGTTTGCGTCACCAGACGTGCAACTGTGAAGCAAGGCTGACCATGTCTGATGATGATGATGATGATGATTGTATTTAACGTGGGGGATCGCTCCTCAGTAGTGCAAACCACGCCTCCCAGAGCCTCTGGATCGCAGGATTGTGGAGGTATCAAGATAATAAGTACAGTCAGTCCCGCTCACGAGCCCATCCTTGTTGTTGCAGCTGTATGACTTTGGGGTCATCTATCTGGTCCTTCAAGAACAGCTATCTATTAGGGGCAGATTGATAAAAAGAACTTGCTCTTCTCAATAAATCTTGCCCATTCCGCGCTCCTCTCCCATAAGTATTGTAAACAGGCTGCCCTAGGCGAGTACCTGGGCAGCAGTCGGTTTTTTCCAAGCCTCTTATAAAAGAAAATATGTTGTGGTGTTTTTTTCTCACCGCAGCTGCAGTGGTTATTCGAGTCTGTATGCCCAAAACGTTCGTGGTATCTAGCAAAGTCGCCATGTCCAGATCTGGCCGTTAGAAGTCTGTGTAAAATGCTCCTTTCAAAAGATATAAGGTCCCTTTTAGTTATTGTATGTGAGTATACTTCTTGATACCTAGGTTCTGATTGGTCTTTCCATTATTGATTGAATTCTTTCTTGTCCTTCTTTTTGAGATCTCTTTTTACCCAAGAGATTGTGGGAAGGTGCGTCGCGTCCGTTTCTAGCATGGCACTGTCACGGCGAGCATACTGGGGAGCTGGGAAATGGCCTGCAGCAAGCAGCTATTACTCTATTGACGAGAATATCAAGACTAGAGAGGAAAGGAAGAGAGAGAGAGAGAGAGATAGGTACAGTGGGAGGTTGCCCCTTTAAGGGGATCCTCTGGTCAGATCCTTCCCCTATTGGGAAGTATCCGCTTGTCATGTGGGAAGGCCTGTGCAGGCCGTCACAGGCACCCTCTTTTGTTAGTGTATTAGCAGCTTCGTTACTATCAATATCTCTGTGTCCAGGGATCCACTTGACGGTCACTCCAGGAGTGTGTGCTGTGGCAAGTTCTTAGAATCGTAGAAAAATGTTCTGTGATGTCTCGGGTGGAGTCCCATTGAGCCCATCTACCACTGACGTGTTGTCCAGTCAGACATATAGCTGTTTTCTGTATCTAATTGCCCTGGCTGCTGCGAGACCTTAGAGAGCGCCATGGACTTCAGCATTTACCACTTCTGCTTGTAGAAGTCTGTCCTTTCCCTGATATATTTCTTGTATAGTGCCGCCTTTCCTGATGGTGTCCCCATCCAGTGCGGGTCGTGCCTTGGTCGTCCAATTGTGATCCATCTGAGTAGATGACAAGGTCAGTGTTCACGTTTCTTCCCTATAGCCATTGCTTAAAGAGCTCTGTTTTTTTGTCTTTGTCTTTGCGGACTGGGGGCTTTTTCCATGATGGCCTGGTAAGTGTTGGTCTCTGGAAGTCAGGGACTAGCTGGAAGCTCCTTTGTAACCTTGTTGGATCCTTGCGGGCTTGTATTTGGAGCCTGCCAACAAGAGGGTGTCTCTGGTCTATTCGTCCTAGTCGGAGGCCGTGACGTCGTCGTATTGACTCTGCAAGAACTCCAGCTGGGGGAATCTGCGATTCAAAATGTAGGATATGCCCAGGGTGTGTTTTCCAGACTGGCAAGATAGCCCTGATCGCCGTTCGTAGTACAGCATCTATTGTCCCAAGAAGCCCCTTAATGCGACATGCTGATGTCTCACCTGAGCTCCTGATTTTCTCGATTCCTGGGTACCAGGTCTCCAGGCCGTGTGTAAGAATAGGAATAACACAAGCTTTTACAGCCCTCCTGATTGATTTTATTGGGAGTCCCTTGACTGTGTTGCATAGTCCTCAAAGGTGATTTGTTACCCTACTAGCTTTCTTGGCCCAGTGAGAAACATGAACTTCGAAGTTTAGTTTTCTATCCAGAAGGACACCTAGCCATCGCATAGAATGCTTAGCTATTTTGTTCATTATCCCGTGGCGGACTGGAGGGTTGTCTGAGTTCTTTTTTTGCAAGAAGTGCATGATCTCGGTTTTGTCGGGGTCAAACTCAATAGCATTATTGTGTTCATATTGGTTGAGCAAATAAAGGTTTCTAAAAGCCTCTGTAGCTATTTCCTTAAGGTTCTTTCCAATACAGAGAGTTGCTAGGTCGTCTGCATATCCAAAGCGTCTTCTTTTCATGCTAAGTTGGGCACAGATTGGCTCGGTATACAGCATGTAAAGGATTGGAGAGGCTGGTGAACCTTGTGGTAGCCCACAAGTGAGAGCTTTTATATCGGTCATAATACCTTCAAACCAAACTCTTGCGGACCGCTCGGACATGAATGATTGGACCCATCTTATAAGAAAGCCTGGCCAGCCCTGTTCTCTCATGCGAACCACCAGCCGTCCCTTTAGGGCAGCATCAAAGGCCCCTTTCACATCTGACGTGACTACTGTTGCAACGAGGCCTTGGTCAAGGGCCTGCTCAATATCATGTATGAGTGCAGCTACTAGGTCAGTGGCAGAGCGCTTTGGTAGAGCTCCAAAATGTTGTGGAGCTAGAATTCCAAGTTTGACAATAAACCAGGTAATTCTTTTCGCGATGAGTCGTTCTAAGCCTTTGCCAAGACATGACAGTAGCGATATTGGTCTGTAGGCCCTGGGATTGGAGTAGTCTTTCTTTCCTGGTTTTGGGATCATTACCACCTCAGCTGCTTTGAATGGTTTAGGGTGGTGTCCAATCTATAGACAGGTCTAGAAAGGGCTCTGATATGTTTCTTAATGACAGGCCAGCATGCTTTCAAAATCTGTACTGTGAGGGTGTTTACTCCCGGAGAGTTGCTCTTGGTCCCTATAGTGCACCCTTCAGCCTTTTCCAGTCCGACATGGTATTCAAGGGGGATGTGTGGCTTGTGTTGTGTGATCTGAGCGGACCAGGGGTCGATAATATCGTTGTCTGGGGTACTTTGTTCAAGCATGGCTGAGTATAGTGCATTTGCCTTGCTCTCTTGTGACTCAAATATTTGGTCTCTTATGATGATTAGTGGGGAACGCAATCCTGCTGACAGCTTGTGCCAAGAAACGATTCTGTACAGGTCCTTTGGTTCAGTCGTTGAATCGATTAGAGTCTGCCAGTACTCTCTCCTAGCTTTCCGAACCACGCAGCAAAAGTCCTGTCAGGCTGATTTCCGCCCTTCTTGGCTTGCGGTCTATTTGGACAAGGCCCTGTATGTCTGAATAGTTGCTTTGCATTTATTATTCCACCAAACAGTGGGCCTAGATTGTCGGGGCTTCTTACCCACTGTCCTGACACAGCCTTGGATCATATTGATCAAACTCTGTGTAAAGGCAGCCACCTGGCCAGGGATTGTACCCAGCCGGGGGAGCTTGTGAATCCTGTTTTGGATATTATCAATTAGCTCTTGTATTTTGTCGTCCGGGATTATCTAACAATCAGCCTTAGGGACCCGGTCCAGGTCTCCCTGAATTGGAACAACTATTCGTAATGTCTTGTGATCTGAGGTGCACTGGAGTGCATCATTCACTGAGGCTTCGGCCATGAGGACATCTGAGAAAACCAGATCTAGTACATTTCTGTCATCATGTGTCGGGACATCTGGTTCAGAAATCAGATCCAGTCCGTGTTGGATTCTGGGCTACGTTAGCCCATCCATAGTCATCCTTTAGGATCAACATCTCCATCTGTGACTCTGTCACATACGTGGCCAATATAAGGCCACGTATCCTTTCCTTTAGTATCTTGGATATATAGGGCCACTCTGGCCGCTCCAGAGTAGCTGGAATTCCTCTCCTTAGATAGAACACTTTGAAATCTTACATGGTAGCATCTCTGATCGATCACGACCTCCAGCAGCCCTTACCTTTTAAGCTTTTTCTACTGGTCTGATTCATTCTGATCACCCTCTTTCTGCTTATGTGCCTCTAAGACTAGCTACCCTTATTGCCACAAGTCTTTAAATGTTTCTCCGTTATAACTGTTTTTTTTATACAGAAAGAGGTCACTTTTTGGCTTATATTTTGCCTTATTTGTAGGCTAGTCTTACGACGTATTATCCTTTTTATATTATGTCCTAATCTATCCCAGAGACGGCCCTGGCCTTTACATCTACCTCTATCCCTCGCCTTCAAGACCATCAGAAGCTCGTTGGCGAGGAGAACTGGGAGGTCTAGGCCTAAACGATAGAGTATTTGCTCACTACTCTCGGGCTTTGGTCTCTTATCCTTGAATCTATCAAGGCGGACGAGAAAGAACCACACAAGGCCAGTACTGGTGCTATCGGTGCACAAGCTACGCCTTCTGTAGGAGCCTCTTATAAGCCCCCTGAATTAGATGCTAGTCTGAGCATCAAGAGGTCAACATTATACCTCGCTATCACCAAGAATATCAAGTCTGACCCTGATTCTCGTATCACGGGTTTATTTGACCCTGGTCAGATCTGGATAGCCTTGCGACAGGCATATTCAGGCACAAGAATTGACGTAGTTTTATCCGTTGTAGATGAACTGGCTGCCATTCGATTCCCTCACCATAGAGACAAGTTCGTGGGCAACTACCGCAGACTAATGGATAAAGTCCAGCTACAGAATA